GATACTCATTTATTCTCATTCAAGGCTAAAACCAGACACAGATTTGCTATTATCTCCACAATTTTCTTAAAGGTTTTTGTATTCCACGTTTTTTTTTTTTTGTTTTTTTTTTAAGAACTACTGCAAAACATGCTCAGTTTCATTTTTGGTAGTTAGCCACAAAACAACTTGTGCTTTTCGCAAACTGCCAGAGATGATCGACATGAAACAGCCATGAGTGGTGAGCGACGGGTTTGACCGGAAGTGTCCCGAAATCACATTCTGACTGAGCCAAAACATTTTTTGCCCGAACCGCAACAATATTACATCAACTACCTTCCTGCTGCATAATTAGTGTAGAGAGGAGAAAGGGAGAATCAGCTGCACCATTCTGTGTCTAAAATACCATGGCAAACACTCATTAGGGTTTAGTTTATGCTGGGGACGTTCAGCAAGTAACGGAAACTTATTTTTTGTGTGAATTTAGGGTCGTTGCAGTTTCATGCATCCCTTCTCTCCCCCACACAGACTGAAAATGCACGTCCCAAAAGAAGAACATTTTTCCTGAGTACAGTGGCAATTAAAACTGTTGAGCGGGTGCTGTTGCTGCTGCTGCTGCTTGTTGCATAATTTCCCCCAGCCAACACAAAAGGGCCAATTTTCTCCCGGAGAGTGAAAAAAAAAAAAGAAGAGGAGTTGTGGTTTACATTGCAATGGTTGAGGGCATGTGGGTGGCACACAGAGTTTAGATAGGAACATGCCAATTAATGTCAGGCGAAATTACTGGGCAGAGGAGGAAAGTGCTTCAAGCCAGCGGTCAGCGCGCATCAGTCTCCCTGCTGCTTTTTCTGCGTTGACAGCAACTGAACAATTAGGCCACAATCTACAATTAATTCCCTCTTTGTCTCAATTTGGTCACGCAAATTTTACAGACCTGGAAAAGCAAGTAGCTTTTATTGTTTGTACCCCTAATGAAGTTGACTAATTTGGTACCAGTGTCATCATTTTAACTAACACGTAAAACCGTGTTATTCAGGAGGTACCGACAGTGTTTTTTTATTATTCAACTGAAAATTGTGGTGTGACAACTGAGTCTAGAGTAGACATTATTTTAATTAGAAACGGACTAAAAGACACAGCCAGTGTTTGGTCGTTTACTTGCCCTGGGAAATTAGTTAAGTGTTAAATTCTAAAGGTTATTAGATAAAAAGTTGGAAAAAAGGTAGGCCACCAACTGAACGATGAAGTCATGAGATGTTTATACCTTTTGCCTTTGATTGTAAACCATTGTTCTTTGTTTTTTATTATTGCTTTTTAAGAAAAGCTGCCAACGTCAAAAGAAAGCTTAAAGAAAAACTGATCAAGATTGCCTCAAAAGACAAATAAG